ACCTGCTCAGGCCCCGCCCCTTCCTCCCCTCCGCCCCTGCTCGCTCTCTCGCACGCGCCTCGCCACCTCTGCCCCCCCCACCCCGCCCCGGGGTCGGCCCGTGTTTACCTCAGGCCGAGGTCGAGGCGCGCGCTCCGGCGGCCGCGGGCCCCACCGCGGGAAGCTCGGGCTTCTCCCGTCACTCCGCCGCCGAGTTGCCCAACATGGACTCCTCCGTCCGTGCTGCGGGGCCGACGGGAGGCGCCGGGGTGGACGGGCCGGGTCTCGAGCCGGTTAGCGACGAGGCGAAGCGACGAGCGGACCCGGGCCGCGCAGCTCCGCGCAGGCTTGCGCCACCGCGGCTTCCCCGCTCCCTCCCTCCCTCCCTCCCTCCCTCCCCCGCCCTGTCTGGCCTCCTCCCTCCCTTCGCGTCGCGTTCTCCCCCTCCCCCCCGCCCCCCTCCGCGAGGCTCGGCCGCGGCGCCGCCACTGGTCGGCGCGCTACGGTGACGCAGGCGGCCTCCGGACCGTCCACATTCTGTTTACACGCTCGCTTTGGGGCTCTGGCGGACGGCCGCACGGGGGCGCCAACAAACTACCGCGCGCGACGCCAAGAGCGTGGTGGGCGGAGTCACGCGGTGCTGCGGCTGGTGAGCGGGAGGAAGGGCAGCCGCGCGAGTGGCTCGGGGAGGCTTCTGGGAAACCGGCTCCCACCCCCCCCCCGCGCCCTCTGGCCACGCGCGGCGCGCTGTGCGCATGCGCCACGCGTGGACGTGGTGGGCGGGGCGAGCGCTGCCTCGGCGGCTTTGCGGGCTACGTTGCCAAGGACAATAGGAGAGTGGTTGTGGTGTGTGTGGGGGGGCGGCGGAGGGGATTCTTTTCTGGTTTTTATCATCTTCAGATACTGGATGGGAAGGGGTTTGCGCGACTAGTGCTTTCTTCTCTGCCATAACCGGGTGTGAATGCTGGGGGGGGGGGCGGCGGCGGAAGTGAGTCTGGGCCGCGGCCTAGCGCCCGCCCGGAGCGCCGCCTGCGGGCGGTGGGTGCAGCGGCGCCAGGACACCCCCCCACTCCCTCCCACCCCGTCCATGTGGACGTCTCCACGATCGCCAGCTCCGGGCTGCTCCTCCACGAGGACATTTGTCTTGTCATAATCTTGAATTCACAAAACCTGCTGACGTGTGCCTTCTACGACCTTCTCTCAGTATAGTTACCCACAGGTGCTGGTTCCTCCGGTCATGGTGCCTCCCAGCCTGGCCTTGCTGGCGGCTTGTCAGATCCTTTTCAGAGTTTTATGGGGGGGGGGAGGAAGGGGTTCCCCAAAGGCCCAGCTTCTTTCACCCCATCGCTTTTCTCTTCTGGTTAATCTCAGCAAGCAACAAGCTGTTCTACTTTCCTGTCTTCCCCTCTGGGGATAAGTCCCCCCACGCCATTGTCTCACAGCTCTAGGGGGACCCTAGGACTGCAAACTGGGCCTCCCCAGTGCCCCTCTGTTGGGTCCCTTTCCTGGCTTTCCACACCCGCTGTGTTCCCTCAGTGGGGTCCACCTGTCTTGGGGGTTCCCTATCCCACCCTTCCTTAGACCCTGTCAAACCCTGATGGCTCCCCCCCCAGATGTTCTTTCTCCTAGACCACTCTGACTGCATCTCAGTTCTGCCCCTTGCTCAGCTGGCTCCCTCATACCCTGAAGCATGGTGTCTGCCTGGTCCCAGTTCCACCCCAAGGATGAAGATTAACCAGGCATTTAGGAAAGGACTTGGTGAAGAAATGATGCAGGGCTCTGTGAACGCCGCCGAAGCAGCTTTGTGTCTTTCAAGGTCTTTTCACTTTCACAACTTGTTTTTGTTGAGGTTTGGGGATTTAAATGGCTTTGCTGCGTTTGGAATGTTGGAAGGAGCAGTGATATAGACTGGTTAAAATAACTGTGCTGATGCAACGAAATTCTGAGGAAAAGTCTTTTCCTGTCACTGTCAGAAAAATATAATACGTGGTAAAGCGTGGTTGTTAAGAGGATTGCTTTTGAAAGAATTAGACCAACCACACTCTTAGGAGCCAATCCACAGAGATTGGGAGTCAAATTCTCATAGGCAAACAATCTAACATTCATCCTAGAGAATGCTCTATAACTTCCCAGGAAGATGTCTCAAATTATTTTAAATAGCATAACCATCCCCATGTATATTTAGCATTTTGTGTGTATATGTCCTTTTAGCTATTTGGAAATAATGCTGATTTTTTTTGTGTGTGCCAAAACTAAGGCTTGAACTCAGCGTCTGGCCACTGTCTGTTAGCTTTTTCACTCAGAGGTGGTGCTCTACCACTTGAGCCACACTTCTACTTTTGGCTCTTTGCTAGTTAATTGGAGATAAGAGTCTCAAGGATTTTCCTTCCTAGACTGGCTTTGAATTAAGATCTTCATATCTCAGCCTCTCTGAGGAGTTTGTGATTACAGGTGTGAGCCTCTTGTGCCCAGCTCTGCAGTAATTAACTATAGTCACCATGCTATATAGTAAGCTATCAAAATCTGTTTCCCTGGCCTCTAATTGAATCTTTGGGCACTAAAACCACCATGATTCCTTTTCCCATCCACATTCCCACCCATAAAAAATGCCCTCATAGAAGGTGATGGTATGTAATAGGCCATCTTTTGTCTCCCCAGGGAACAGACTATGTATGAATTTCTGTTCATCCTTAATATGAAGACAATATATTCTTTTTGTCTCAACATTTTCAATTTTACAATGTAGAGCTACCATTCTAAAAAAAGCTAAACTATGAAATAGAGAAGTAAAGTTGAACTTGTTGACACCGTTGTCAATAGTATAGATTTAATTGTAACCATAAAAACACAAATGGTATACACTATATATAATATAACCTCCAATCAATGCACAACTGGTGTGTTCCACTTCTTTGAGCATTTTAGTGATCAATCCTGTCACAAAACAATAGAAGCCTACTGATGGCAAGCTTAAAAATCAATAATGGGCTGTACACAATAGCTCACACCTGTAATTCTAACTACTAAAGGCTAAGATCTGAGGATGATGGTTTGATGCCACTAGCTCTGACAGACAAATCCCAGAGAGTCTCCAATTAACTAGCAAAAAGCCAGAATGGAGATGTGGCTCAAGTGGTAGAGTGCTAGCCTTAAATAAAAAAGCTAAAAGACAGCACCTAGGCCCTGAGTTCAAATCCCAACCATCACACACACACAATCAATCAATAATGTATTGTTCTTGAAGAGTTTTTATAAGAACTCATTTGTTTACCTATTATGCAAACTAAAATTCAAGTTAAAGGGCAAAATTGTGATATAAAAACCCTAGATTATGGCTGGGAAGGTGGCTCAGTGGTAGAGTGCTTACCTTGCATGCATGAAGCCCTGGGTTCAATTCCTCAGCACCACATAAGCAGAAAAAGCCGGAAATGGTGCTGTAGCTCAAGAGGTTGAGCTGAAGAGCTGAGGTACAGCCCCCAGGCCCAGAGTTCAGGCCCATGACTGACAAAAGAAAAAAAAACCCTAGATTATGTGGAAAAAATGATGCTAATACTGACTTTGTCACTTAAACCCATTACAGTTTTGGACAAATCACCTAATGATTTGGTCTTAAGAAGAAGTTTTAATCTTAAATGTGGTAAAATATATAATATCCGTGGGAAGAATGAAAAATAAATACAATAAGCAAATTATTTTACAAAAACTTTTTTCTAGGTGTTATAAGTTTTAGTAGTTTCCTTTTTGGATTTGTTTAGCTGGTTGGGTTTTTGTTTTGGTTGACCAGCTGATTTTGTCGTTATGTTTCTTTTTTATTTCAACAGGAGAGGTCTTATTTGTTTTAGACACTATGTAGTTCAGGCTGGTCTGAACTAGCTATGTAGCTGCAGTTTGTTGTCAAACTATCACCCTACCTCCACCTCTTCAGGTGCTGGGATTATAGGTATGCAGTACCACTCACAGTTTACAGTATTATTTTTTAAAGGCACTAGTTTATCTCTGCTTTCACAACTCATTGTGATACTGCCCAAATTGTTTATTATGTGGAATTTAATTTGTTCACCATCAATTATGTATCTATTGTCTGAAAACTGCTTTGCGGTGTATATATAAATAGGATCTCGGTGATAATTCAGCAAATTCAGCTCAGTATAAAAACAAACAAATGGGAGGGCAGAAAGTATAACAACAATAGAAACAAAGGCGGCATATGATATTTTAAAAAAAGAGGGGGGAAATACAAAGGAGACCAAGGGCAGTTTCATATCAGAGCTGGAATTCAATTTAAGACTAGCTAATTTAATTTAATTTTGGTTGTCAATTTGATTATATTAAGAAACACCTTGAAAGCCAGGCATCTGGTGGATCAGTACTGTAATCCTAGCTACTAAGGAGGCTATAATCTGAAAGTTGTTGTTCAAAGCCAGGAAAATCCATGAGACTCTTCCAATTAACCACCAAAAAGCTGAACATGGAGCCTCAAGTGGTAGAGCACTAGCTTTGAGTGAAAAAGCTCAGGGCACCCAGGCCCTGAATTCAAGCATCAGAACAAGCACACACATATACAAAAAGGAGAAAAGAAAGAGGGAAGGAAAGAAAGGAAGTAAGGAATAGAAGAAAGGAAAGAGACCCACACACACATCTACAAGCTAAGTGCTGGTGGCGCATACCTATAATCCTAACTACTTAAAGTTGAGATCTGAAGATCACAGTTTGAAGCCAGCCCAGACAGTAAAATCCACAAGTTTTAAATCTGCAACTAACCTCTAAAAAGCTGGAGGTAAAGCTGTAGCTCAAGTTGTAGGGCACCAGCCTTAAGCCAGAAATCTCAGGGACAGTGCCCAGGCCCTTAGTTAAAGACAGGACCAGTTTTTTGTTTTTTTTTTAAGTGATCCTTGCTGGTAAAACAGAAGACCAGAAACCTGGCACCTTTGGCTCATACCTATAATCCCAGCTACTCAGGAGGCTAAGATCTAAAGATTGTGGTTCAAAGCTAATTGGGTCAGAAAAGTCCCCATAAGACTCATCTCCAGTTAACCACACAAAAATCAGAAATGGACCTGTGGTTTAAGGTGCTAGAGCATTAGCCTTGAGCAAAAGAGCTTAGGGAGAGACTCAGGCCTTGAATTCATCCCAACAGCCAACAAACAAAAACCAGAAGGCCAGCACTGGCACCAAAAGAATAAACACCTAGGAGATTTGTGATGGATACCTCTGGGTATGTTTGTGATGAGGTCTCAAGAGACAGTTAAGTCTTGAGGGCTCTAACCTAATCAAAGAATTGATCCTTCGATAGATTCATAATATGATGGCATGATTGGTAGGTGGTAAAAAGTAGGAGATGGGACCTAGTGAAGGAAGTGGAT